CCACCTTGGGCCTTCTGTCCACTAGATGGCGCCCTTGCACTCTCTGGGGAGGCTGCCTCCCCTTCTGAAGGGAGCGCTCAGGATTCCACCCAGCCTGGTCCCCCTCGAAGGCCACCCTGGTTCCCCAACACCTCATCCATTCTCTCCCCTCCACACACACCTTTGCCCCCCCGTCCTAAAAACCTGCCTTTTTGACCAGAAGCAATAGGTGGGCTGCACAGAACGGAGACCCCAGCACGATGCCATCGACACCTTTTGTGGAGAAGCAAGAAAGTCCAGCGTAGCCCCGCCTGGAGCCAGATCCAGCACAGCTCTCTGGGCGCTCTGGAGTTCCCCTCTGAGCCACTCTTCCCACCCCACTTTGCCCTTTTGGCATGCTCTGCTCCGCATATTTTAGAGTCCATCCCTCTCGACGGCATTGTTTTCTCCCAAGGCGGGAGGTGGTGTGGATTCAGAAAGAAATTGGGGGGTGGTGCTGGGGGGAGAGGGAGAGGGGGAGAGAGCGACAAAGCCTTCACGCAGGGAGATGCTGGGGACCCTCTTGGTGTTCTTTGGGGGGGCACTGCCAGCAGACAGGAGCAGCTGCTGAGGCATTTCCAAGGCGGCACGTCTCTCCCGCAAGGCTTCCTTCCTCCCACCCGGCTTCCCGAGGAATGCTGCTCTTCCCAGGCGATGCAGCGGGGGGGGGGATAAGCCCAGCCTCCTTGGCCAAGAGCCTCCCCTCGGTATGAATAGCGGTGCGGCGCTGCCCAGCCCTTGTTCGCCAGCCAGGCTGCTGCCTCCCTGCCCGCCTGCCTCCACCCGCCGCGCTCTCACTGGGCTCTGCCTCCGAAAGGCGTCTTGGAAGATGGAGAGTTTCCTGAGCTCGCGGTCCTTGGGAGAGGAGTCCCTCCAGATGTGGGACCTCAACAAGCGTCTGGAGGCCTACTTGGCCAGGGTGAAGTTCCTGGAAGAGGAGAATGAGCTGCTGAAAGCCGAGATCCAAGGCCTGAAGGGGGGCTCGGCGGAGAACTCCTGGCGGGCCAAGTATGAAGAGGAGGTGGTGGCACTCAGGGCTACTCTGGATCAAGCGTATCAGGAGAAGTGCATGGTGGAGCTGGCCAGGGACTCCCTCTACGAAGAGGTCCAACAGGTGAAGAGCAGGTGCCAGAAGGAGAGGGCGGCTCACGAAGAGGCCAAGATGTTCCTGTCCATCAGCAAGAAGGAGATGGAGGAGGAGAAGCGGACCCACATTTGGTTGAGGGAGAAAGCCACCCAGTTGGAAAAGGAGATCGAAGCCCTGGTGGAGGCCCACCAGGAGGAGTTGCTAGGGCTGGACCAAGAGATGGCCAGCTTCTCCCAGACCTTTGACAGCTTCCGTGCGGGCCCAGTGTGCTTCCAGCCCGTGGAAGTCGAAGACTATGCCAAGAGGCTCTCCAACATCTGGAAGGGAGCGGTGGAGACCTACAAGATGGAGGTCTCCCAGCTGGAGGCTTCCCTCTGCGAAGCCAAGGAGAACCTTTGGAAGGCCACCGAGCGCAACCGGCAGAACCAGCTCCAGCTGCAACAACTGGAGAAGGAGCTGGCCAGCCTCAAGGTCCGGAAGAAGAGCCTGGAGGACAGCCTCTCCCAGCAGTGGGCCCAGCAGCAGGGGGACGCAGAGAAGCTGCAGGTGGGTCAGGGAGGCCGGCCCAGAGCCCCCTTCTGAATCCAACAGGGCTGGGGGGGGCTGTGGGTCCAGCCCTGCTCCTAACTGAAGCTCGGTGGGGTCACGGGTTGGCAGCTGACTCTGGGGTCCACTGGTGGCACTGGAAGCTCCGAGGGCTGTGGTGGCTTGGAAAAGTGGCTTGTACGCAGGACGTGGCCACTCAGTCAAACTTTGCTGGCCAAAGGGTTGAACTGTCAGCATTTCCTCAAAAACCAAGGCTCTGATCCAGCCACCTGCATCTTGTGGAGACGTGGAAGCTAGGGCTGGCAGTGGGGGGGGGGGGGGGGGGGGGGGGGGGGGG